AGGGGGGGGGGGGGGGGGGGGGGTGGGACCAGCTGGTGTGACAAGCCGGCTGGTGTGACAAGCCGGCGGGCGGGACGAGGCGGCGGGCGGGACGGGCTGGAGGGCGGGACGGGCTGGCGGACATGGTGATGATCATTGTTTTGATATTGTGGCGAATAGTGGTGGTTATGAAGGATGGTAGAGATGATGGGGGTGATGGGGTGATGGGGTGATGGGGGTGATGGGGATGATGGGGGATGATGGGGGTGATGGGGGTGATGGGGGTGATGGGGGTGATGGGGGTGATGGGAGGGGTGACCATCATCATGATGAACTCAGTGGTGGGTGGTGGGGGGATGATCATGATCATGATAATGATATGGGTGACTCTGGGTCATACTCCCTCCCCCCCCCCATCATCATCATCGTGGCAGTGACAACATCCTCGCTGACGGTGCTGTGGCGTGCCGCCAGCTCATCGCCGGTGAGCGGCGGAGGGACAGCGTCAGACTCAACTCGACCAAGACGTGTCCCGGGGAGCCAGTCGTCGGAGCAGAAGAGAGCCATGAGCAGAGAGAGTACCTGGACGAGTGTTGTGACGGCTGTAGAGCGATGGATGGATGCGAGCGGGAAGAGCCATGTCGTGGCCTTCTCCTCCGACGCGGGCGGCGTGGCTATTGACTCAACAGACGCCAATTCGGCTCTGGCAGCGCTCATCGAGGCCTTCCGCCGGCACCTCCATGCCCATCCCGAGCTCTCAGGCTGCGAGGAGAAGACGGCTGGAAGCGTTGTTGATGTGCTGCACATGCTGGGCTTTGCATCCGATGAAATCCGCACAGAGGTCGGTGGCGGCCATGGCGTGGTGGTGGAGATCAGCGGGAACGGCGACGGCAACGGCGACGGCGACAGCGACGGCGAGGACTGTCCTCATGGTCAACAAGGTGGAGAGGGAGAGCAAAGCGCTGGCCGAGTGCGAGTCGGAATCCGCGGCGATATGGACGCTTTGCCCATTACTGAGGCTACAGGCTTGGCGTTTAGCTCGCAGGTGGACGGCGTCATGCATGCGTGTGGCCACGATGTGCACACCGCGGCTCTGGTGGGCGTGGCGGCGCTGCTGCGGGCGGCGGCGGTGGGCAGTGGGCTTCCGTTTGATGCCGTACTCCTCTTCCAACCGAGTGAGGAGGCTGGATACGGCTCGCTCGAGCTCATCGACGGCGGCGCGCTTGACGGCGTGAGCTACGTCGTCGGTGGGCACGTCGACTATCACTACCCCGTAGGGACGGTGGTCATGCAGGATGGCGCGGTCAACGCGTCGTCGGACGCGTTCGCCATCACTATCGAGGGCGCTGGCGGGCATGGCGCCCGCCCGCACGAGGCGCTCGACACCGTTGTCGTCGGTGCGCACGTCGTCACCGCCCTGCAGACCATCGCGTCGCGGGTCATCGACCCGGCGTCGCCAGTTGTCGTCACCGTCGGCTCCTTCCACGCCGGCACCAAGGGCAACATCATTGCCGGCACCGCCGAGCTGGCAGGCACGCTGCGGACACGTGCGCCCGACGCCCGTGCCCACGCTCGCACTGCCGTTGACGCCATCGCCACGGGCGTCGCTGCCTCGTTCGGCGCGACCGCCGTGGTCACCTGGGACGAGCCCGGCACGCCACCGGTCGTCAATTGCGCCCGCCTGGCAAGCGCCATCCGCGATGTGCTTGCTGCCGCCCCGTGGCTCGATGCCGTCACCCCATCCATGGGCTACGTCAACATGGGCGCCGAGGACTTTGGCTGCTACGGCGAGCGCGTGCCCGTCGCCTTTGCCCGCTATGGTTGCGCCGCCTCGGCCGACGCCGTCGCCTCGGCGGCGCCGGCCCACACCGCAGGCTTCTGTCCGGCCGCCGGCACCGCCGCCGTCGCCGCCCGCTGGCTGGCCTCGGCGGCGTACGCTGTCTCGCAGCTGCAACCGTCGTCGTAAACACACGCGCCGGCACTCGCCTGTTGCTCACGGCGTGGCCAGCAGCGGCCTCGCCTCGGTCAGCGGGCGGCGATGCGGAAGGTGGTCCGAGTTGAGCCGCGAGCGCTCAGCCACGTACGCCCTGTGGCGGGCGCGGAGGCGGAAGACGGCGTAGAGTGAGAGAGTAAGGGCGACGACAACAACCGCCCACACCACAATGACTGCAATGATCCAGGCAGAGAGCGAGCGCGAGTGGTGCGGCCGGACAAAGATGGGCGGCGCAAAGCCGACACTATACGCCTCGACCGTGTGCTCGGTGACAAACAGCATGCCGTCGGCGACTGGGATGGGCGGGACCGATGACGCAGCGCCGAGCGTGATCTGCCACAAAAACTGTCCGCTGTCTGCTTCGAGGCCGACCGCCAGCTCGCCGGCGGTGGTCACCACCACCACAGAGTCGCTCTCGGCGATGGAGAGCGCGAGGACGTCGGCGTTGAGGTTTGCGGTCCACGCGACTGCCCCGGCCCGTGCCCCAGCCGCATGCAGTGCCATCACGTTGCCCTCGGCATCGCCAAAGTACAGCATCCGCAGGCCGCCCGAGTGGGCCACTGCATGGTCAAAGAGCGTCGCGCTTGCCGAGGCGTTGAAGACCAGCACGCCGTCGGTCACGTTGGCCACCCGAAGGACCGCGTCGTCGCCCGCAACAAACACCAGTTCGTCCGACACGCCCGGGACCGAGAAGGCTGTCCCGGCCGCCGTGTGCGTCCACACCAGCGTCATCCTCTGCGGGCCGCCAAGCTTGATGCCGTAGACGTACCCGGCGTCCGAGGTGACGACTGCCGTCGCGCCGTCGGCTGACAGAGCCACAGCATTCCACACCGCCGCGTCGTGCGGGAGACGCAGGCTCGAGACCGCGTCGCTGGCACCAGCAACGGCGGCGTCGAGATCAATGACAACCAGACTCGCTCGCATCCCTTCCACGCTCAGAGTGTAGCCCATGCGGCGTGCCTGGTCGACCACCACATCGCCGGCCAGGACCGAGGCGCCCGGCAAGGTGACAGTCAGCAGCGAGGCGCCCGTGGCGGCGTCAAAGCCAGAGATTGCCACCGACGCGTTGTGCTGGTTGTTGTCGGCAAAGCTAATGGTCTTGACCAGGGCCATAGCCGGCACGGCCGAAAAGTTGCCGGCTGGTGGAAGGACGAGCGACGGCGTCGAGGCCTCGACCGACCAAGTCACCGGCGCCGACGTGATGTTGACCGACCACAGTAACGTGCCATTGCCAGCCGGCGAGACGTCGAGCGCATCGAGGACAGGATGCGTCGGTACCTTGTGCTTGTGGCTCTGTGGAGTGACCCGGACCACCAGCGCCAGCGTGGCCAGTGCCTCCATCTCTGCCGCCCTGACGTCCATCACCACCGCGCCCAGAAAGTAGTCCTTGTCCGCCTTGCCGCCCAGCCGACCCGATACGTCCGAGACAGCGGCAAGCTTAGGCAGTGGAGGTGGCGGCGAAGTAGTAGGTGGTGGTGGTGGCGCGGGCAAAGACGGCGGCGGCGGCGACAAAGGCAAAGGAGGCGGCGGCGGGATCGGCCGCAGCGGTGCATCGTGCAGCCACTTGATCCGCGGTTTGATCTGCGAGAGCGGCGCGAGCTTGGCCACCGGCTGGTTGCCAGCCGAGCCCGAGACGCGGAGCCAATTATCCAACGACAACGACGACGACGGCAACAACGCATGCAAAGGGGACGATGCTGATGATGCTGATGATGATGACGACGATGACGATGATGATGATGATGATGGTGTTGTTGTTGTTGTTGTTGTTGGGGTCGACGATGATGATGCTGATGCTGATGCTGATGATGACGATGATAATGGCGATATCAGTGACAATGACGGTGACGGTGATGATGATGTAACAGGAGCAGCAGCGGAGCCTGTCGGCGAGCAAGTCGCCCTGTCGCCGGCCACCACCACCACCAGGCCGACCACAGCCAAGACGACTGCCACTCCGAGCATGGGCATAGGCATGGGCATATGCATAGGTGAGATGGGGAAGAGAGAGGGGAGGGGGGGTCCACACGCGTGCAGTGGTTGCCACTTAGCCCGCCAGGTCCTTCCCCCCTCTCGTCGTCTCCGTCTCTCCGTCTGCTGCGGTGCGTGACTGGCGTGACTGCGTGGCGCCCTTTTTTTGCGGAAAGGTTTTGGTCATTGAAATATTTTCTTGCCATCCGCTGAGGCGACCGCCGCCTGCACACCGCTATCTCTGACCCAGTAGTACAAGAGGATACTTGAAGTTTGGTGAGTGTGTTGGTGGTAGAGTGGAGATTGAGGTACGTGGTGCTTGTCGTCGTGTAATGGTGCAAAGGTGAAGGGAGACAGCAAAGGGCTAGGCTACGGGTTGGCTGTCGAAAAAAAAGGCGCTCGTGGGGTGAAAGCCCCATCGAGGTAGAGTTCAGACACAGCGTACATAGACAGTGAATGACACCAATCTCATCACACATCTTGGATACATGCCTATGTTGTGTTGCTCATGTCCGACAATGCCTAGATGTGCCGCCCGGGGCTGTTCAAGGGTTGCAGTTTAAAATCAAGAAAGCGATACTCTTTTTGAAGCGACAAATCTCAGTCTCTGCCTCCTTTAACCTTCCACACCGCCCACATACACTCATGATTGGTTACAGATTATCATGTAACGTGTAACAAACGACGGCATGCAATGAGTCAATGCGTTAGTGTGGTTAGGTGTGGGGGGGGAGGGGGAGACGGATCGTGGGCTCTGAGCTCAATTTAGTGATCACAGTTTCTCGAGTGTTCATTTCCGATTATGCACCAGGTGTAATCTCGACGACGCGGCCATTGGTAAGCAGCTCTAGGAAGTCGTATCTGCCGATGGCGACCATACCACCTGCAAAGATGCCCATGGCAAGCTGGCCGAGAGCGGCGACGAAGCCGATAGCGAGCTGGCCAAAGCAGATGCCAAGGGGAGCGGTGGTGCCTTGGCCGGCGGCGAGGAAGAGGCCGAAGGAGACTTGGCCGATGCCGATGCCCCAGGAGAAGGTGATGGCGCCAAGGCCAAAGACAAGTGCGATGGGCATGACGCCAATGGCGCAGCACGCGCGTGGCTTCACGCCACATCCAAACAGCGGCCAGCCCCAGCAGCGAATGTCCGAGTGGTATCCTTTGTCGGTCCACCCAGGTGCGACGGGCGGATCATACGGGCGGATTCGCTCCGAGATCCAATTTGTGGTGAACGGGAGTGGCGGGCAGAGCTCGTAGATGACCTGCTGATCATCGGCATCACTCGAGCTCACGTACGATGCTCTGCCACCGCCTTCCATCTCGCGCAGTATGGCCGAGTACGCGCCGGTCTCGGACACCTCGTCCGCTGTGGCAAACGTGTATGAGCTTCCCGTCGACTGTTCCAACGCCGATGACGACGAAGATTCACCAGACGACGTCTTGGCTGATGATTCCGAGCTCGAGCTCAAGCTCGACTTCGCCACACTGACATCTTCTTCCCTGTCCGATCCTTCTCTGCCCTGTTGGCCGCGATGAGCTGGAACGGCGAGTCCTTGGCCGCCTTGCCCTTGCCCTTGCTCTTGATCACCATCATCGAGACGGACTTGGTCTTGACTGTCCCCGCGCCATCGCCCCCCTTGTCCTCCCCCGACTTGCCCGTCTTGCGTTGAGCATTCCCGTCTTGCGTTGAGCATTCTTTCTCGTCGTTGCCGCTGCTTCTGACGAGACTGACGAGGTAGAGTCGTAGCTATCCGTGTCCTCTCTCCTTTGAGCTTTGGTATTCTTGGCCATGTTCTCCTCTCCTTGATAGTATGGCCAGAGTCAAGTGCGGTTAGCTGAAGCCGATGTCGAGCCGCTTTTCGTTTGTCTTTCACGCTGTCACCACGTGAAATAATTGCATGCTTGGTATTCCTGGTATGGGGTGGCCCGCTATTCCTGGTATGGGGTGGCCTGCGATCCGATCGATGTGATGCTTGAGAGTGTGGTGTGTGTGTGTGTGTGTGTGTGTGTGGCTGCCTTGCCACAGTCTCTTGTGCAGCGTGATCAGACTCGAGGATGGGCTCAAGGACAGCGGGGAAGCGCGTGATGCGCATGTATGGTATGGGGCTTGGGGATAATGGTGCACAATGACCCTCTCCTCGTCTTTTGCACAAAATAACAGTGTGTATTCGACGGAGCAAGCGCCACTTTGAGCTCGGCGATCTGCTGTCGCTGGTCACACGCGGCCGGGTGATTAGCAGGCGCCGCACTCAGAGCAGGTAGACCAGAGACGGAACGACTTGCCACCCCACTTCCACACCTGGATGGCGCACGCGAGGTTGGAGCTGGCGTCGCACGGCGGGCGGCCCTTGGAGCATGAGCCCCAGTTGACCGAGTTGATCTGCCAGACACCAATGTCGTTCGATCCGTTGGTGTTGTGCTGTTGTTCATCGGCCCATGCATGGATTGGTTACTCATGCCACGTGAGTCACGGCGTTCGCACAAAGAAAGAGATGCACCATCCACCACACCCACATCATGACTTACGTTCTGCGCGTGGGCGTTGCCCGACGACTCGTGATGAACAATGCACTGGCACTCTGTTGTGGTAGCTCATTGTGAGTGGTGTGTTTGCGGGTCCCGGAAAAAAGTCACCCTCTACCAACTCGATCTCCCTCCCTCCCCCCCCCTCCCTCCACACACCTACCCCCACCTCACCCACCAAGTACCCTAGCCCACTCTAGGCACACTATCTGTGGTACCGGCTTCCCAAGCAGTCCCGTTCATGCCTCCATACCCGACACACCGCACAAAGCAACCTCTCCACGCATAACGACTTATGGAAAAAAAAACCACCCTAACAGATCCACCCTGCAACATCACCCACCCCGTATCACACGGCCAGCTCCATCTCTCTGCCATGTACACCATGCACTACCATGCCTAGCACAGAGAGACAGCTTTGCCACACGAGCGCCAACAAATAAAAGCTTCACGGCGTTCAACGCACGCACGCAAGTACGCACGCGGGCGCACACCCAAAAATTCATCGGTGCCACGTCGTTCGGTTGCAACCCGGCGAGGGCGTGCAGCAGCGAGGACAGGCAGGCAAGCAGGCAAGGGAGGGAGGGGGGAGGAGGAGGAAAAGGTAACGTACGGGACTGGTCCCAGCCGGAGAACTTGGCACACCACTCGGAGATGGAGACATAGGAGGAGGAGGTTCCTGTGGTGGGTAGTAGCGTGTGTATGGGGAGGGGGGAGGAGGGAGTGAGTGAGTGTGACTTAGTGACTAGCCTTTTGAGGCGGGCAGGCGGAGGCAGGGAAGAAGGAGGTGTGGAGGATGAAGGAGAGCAGCTAGCGTACCGCAAAGACAGTTGGTGCAGTCGTTGGACGGGCAGTTACCGCCGCAGGTGTTGGCAAGGACAGCGCTGGCGCAGAGAGCGAGAACAGCAAGGAAGATAAAGGTCTTCATGACGGAAAAGGTCGTGAGAGAGAAGCTGCTGGTGTTCTCCTTCAAACTTCTGTGCATTCATCAAGGTCACGCGCTCCTGCGTTTCGCCGCCAAGCGGGCATTATTCCGATTCGCCGGGGCCATGCTTCTCCACGATCAGAGTCTCTACCCACTGGTTGAGTCTAGCTGGAGCCATCGGACGAGTTTGGGAGATCCATGCCGAGGGCAGCAAGCCGCGCGAGCTGTGCGGGATCGGCCTTGACGGGATCGGCCTTGACGAGAGCGGCGAGGGGGGTAAAGTATCTGGTGGAGTGGTCGGTCAGGTGATCGGCCAGGTGATCGGGTGGAGTGGTCGGCCAGGTGATCGGGTGGAGTGGTCGGCCAGGTGATCGGGTGGAGTGGTCGGTCAGGTGGTCGGCCAGGTGATCGGGTGGAGTGGTCGGTCAGGTGGTCGGTCAGGTGATCGGGTGGAGTGGTCGGCCAGGTGATCGGGTGGAGTGGTCGGCCAGGTGATCGGGTGGAGTGGTCGGTCAGGTGGTCGGCCAGGTGATCGGGTGGAGTGGTCGGTCAGGTGGTCGGTCAGGTGATCGGGTGGAGTGGTCGGTCAGGTGATCGGTCAGGTGATCGGGTGGAGTGGTCGGCCAGGTGATCGGGTGGAGTGGTCGGTCAGGTGATCGGGTGGAGTGGGCGGTCAGGTGATCGGGTGGAGTGGTCGGCCAGGTGATCGGGTGGAGTAGTCGGTCAGGTGATCGGTCAGGTGATCGGGTGGAGTGGTCAGCCAGGTGGTCGGGTGGAGTGATCGGTCAGGTGATCGGCCAGGTGGTAAGGTGGCCTGGTCGGGCATGCGGGCGGTCAGTCCGAGCCACCCTGGGGGGGGGGCAGCACCCACTCAACTCACTGCGGCCGACAGGGCAAAGGTCGACTCGAAGGAGAGCAGGGAGTCGCGGGGAGGGTGGGGGTGTAACTCTAGATGGTTGTTGGAGTCGCTCAGCTGTATGCCGTTGTGGGCTTTGGCATGGTCCTCGTGCACAACACGTTTCTCGTCTTTGCCGTCGATACCTTTGTCGCCGTCCACCGATTGGCCTTTGGCCCATTTGCTTCGGCGCTGGCTGTCTTTGCTCTCTGGAATTCGGTCAACGATCTGGCCTTTGGCTGGCTCCTCGATGGCTGGCTTCTCAAGCATCGTCTTCGATCAACGTGCTTAATGGTCATAGCCCCACTGCTGTCTCTTGCTTGGCTCTTGTTCTGGTTCAAATGGCCGTGCATCGTCGTAGAGTCTTGGTCACTCGCCCTCGCCCCATCGCCTCTGTTGGCGCTCTTGCCAGAGCCAGACTCGCCGAACTGGATCGGCGTGCACTACGGCCTTGCTCTTTGTGCCTACGATGGTGTCTTTACTCTGGTTGTCCTCTTGCACAACGCGCTCATGACAGAGCTCGCTGCTCGTCCCTCGGTTCGCGGCAAGGCCGTGTCGGCCAACGCGCTGGCATCAGTCTTGGCCTCGCTCCCGGCCTTTGGCGCCTACTTGCTCTGGTCACCAACGGATGGGCCGCGCTTTGCCGCCTTTCAGAAGCTCGCTGTGGTCTTTGCCGTCGTCTCGACGTTGGCCATCGGCGGCGGAGCCTGGCTGCTGCAGCCACACGAGCGGCGGATGCGGGAGATGCGGGCACGGAAGCAGCGCGAGTCAGAGTCGGACAAGCTAATGATGGAGAAAAAGGAGGGCGAGTCTCAGCAGCGGCCGCTGTCGCTGATGCGTGTGCTGGCGGCGCTGGCGTGCCTGCCCAACTTTGTCTGGTTCACCGCCGTCAACTTTCTGCAGATCCTGGTGTGCTCGTTCAACAACACGTTCTTCCGGCTCTTCCTCGACTTTTATCTCGGGTCTGTGGTGAGTGCATCCGCGCGTGCGATGCTTGTCACGGCGTCGTACGTTCTTCCGCACGTCTTTACCATTGTCTCGGGCGCGCTAGTGGCCCGGCACGGTGCGTATCTGGTCATCCGCGCGCTCTTTCGGGCCCGAGTCGGTCTGGGCGTGGCGGCATGGCTCGCGGTGGCCCTACCTGCTCTGGGCGGGACGACGACGGCTGCGGTGTGCCTCGGAAGCTTTGTCGTCCTCAATCGGCTTGTCACCGAGGGCACGTGCCGGCTGATGAACGTGGCTCTCGCCGACGTGGTTGATGAGGAGGCGGCGGTGGCCAAGCGGGCGACGCCGCTCTCGGCGCTTATCTTTGGCACCAACGCGTTTGTGACCAAGCCGGCTCAGTCGTTGGCGCCGGCGCTCGGGTGGTACTTTCTCTCTGCGAGCTCGTCGTTTGCGTCGCCGGCTGCCGACGGGAGTGCGGCATCGTCGTTTTTTGCCAGCGACGGCGACGCGGACGCGCGGCAGGCGACGTACAGCGAGGCATCGGGCGAGCTGCAGAGTCTGATCGGCAAGCTCGTGGTGCTTGTGCCGGCGCTTGCTGGGAGCCTCCAGCTCCTCGCTTGGTCGCAGTACTCGCTGCGGGGCTGGTATCTGCGGACGGTCAAGGCGAGCCACGAGGCGTGAGTCGCCGAGGCACAGGCGCCTGCGCGGTAAATTTACGTGGGGCAGTCGTAGACCTGGATGGCGGCGTCGTCGCCGGCAGAGACGAGCTTGGAGCCGGTGACGTCGTAGGCGACGGACCAGACCTGGTCGGTGTGGCCGTGGAAGACGTGGACAGGCGCGGGGTTGCCCATGACGTCCCAGATCTTGACCTCCTTGTCGGAGGAGGAGGTGGCAAAGTGTGCACCATCTGCGGTGGCGGTGACGTCGAGGACCCACGACGAGTGGGCAACGATGGAGTAGATGACCTCGTTGTTGTCGACCGAGAGGGCCGAGACGTGCATGTCGTCCGAGGCGGCCATGAGGAAGCCCGAGGGCGAGAAGGAGAGGGAGCGGACCGGCTTGGCATGGGCGGTGAACGAGGCCTTGATGGCGCCGGTGGCGACGTCAAAGACAGTGATGGAGCCGTCCATGGCCGACATGGCCAGCGTCTCGCCGTCCTCGGTGTAGGCGACGGAGAGGCCAAACTTCTTGGCCGATGACTCAAAGGTCGTCTCGAGGCTTCCCGAGTCGACTGAGTACAGGGCCACGTTGCCAGCATGGGTCGTGGTAGCCAGATGGCGAGCCGAGGGAGAGAAAGCGATGGCCCAAGACTCTGCGGCGCTTGTTGCAATGGTCGACGTGCACGTTCCGTTCTCCAAGTTCCAAATCTTGATGGTCGAGTCAAACGAGGTCGATGCCGCCAAGTCGCCAGCTCCATTGACTGCCACATCAATGACGCCCAAGTCATGGCCCGTCAGCTCATGCTCCGCCACCATGTTCTCCGCATCCCACACCTTGACCGTGTTGTCCACAGAGCCGGTCACGATCTTGCCCTTGGCCGTCCAGCACGCACTCCACACTGCGTCGTCATGCGCAGCCTCGACACGCTTATGCAGTTTGTACTGCGGAGGGGGAGGAGCTTGTGAATTATTTGTGTGGTTTTGTGTGGTTTTGTGTGGTTTTGTGATGTGTAGCCGGGAAGCGGGAGGGGGGGGGAGCAGAGGGTGGTGGTGATCGTGGCGGTGATCATGGTGGTGATCGTGATCGCGATCGTGATCAAAGGTGGCGGTGGCCGCAGCTGGCCAGGGCGGTAAGGTAAGCAGAGGGAGGAAGGGGGAGGGGGAAGGGAGGGGACATACCATGGTGTGTGTATGGGTGTGTGGGTGTAGGGATATGGGTATGTGTGTGTATGTGGGTGGGGAGAGGTGGCTGAGGCTGTGGCCGTGGTCGTGGTTGGCCGTGGTGGTCGTGGCTGTGGTGTGTGTGTGGCTCCCCGGCCAGCTCGTCGGCCAAGCAAAACTCGATTTTCCCCTCTCTTTCTCTCAAGCGAGTTCATGACGGTGTTTGGGATGGACATGTTGGGGATCGAGTGTTGGACTCGACACAGCCGGCGATCTGATCGAGGAGGTGATCATGTGAAAAGATGGATGGTATTGTGATGTGAGAGCAAGTCGCCATCGATGTTGTGGCCGAGGGGCGAGCGGAGGAGCGGACGGGCGGGGCGGGCGGGCGGGCGGGCGGACGGGCGGACGGGCGGACGGGCGATAGGCAACGACAGTTGAGCCGTGCCGAGACTGAGCGGTACTTGACTCTACCACCATCGATCAGAGAGAGATTATGGAGCTCAATGCGTCTCAAAAGCGAGTTGCATGGGTAGTTGCCCTTTATTGGGTAGTCTCGATCTCCCTTGTGTTTGTCAACAAGGTCGTCATGACCTCCAAGGGACTCTCCATCCCTGCCCCTCTCTTCATCACCTGGTTCCAATGCCTCTTCACCGCCGTCCTCTGTTACCTTGGCGGCCGATTCTCACGCCCAGCCTCCCTCCTTCCTCCTGGTCAGTTCCCTGAGCAAGTCTACAACCCTTCAATCGCCACAAAGGTAAGATTTCATTCATCATTCTTCCCCTTCCTCCCCCCTCTCTCTTTCTCTCCCTTTCTCCATACCCCCTCCCAACACGTGTCACTCGCCTCGCCGTGGATGCCGCCGTCCATCCCCCCCGTTGCCCGCCAACCTCCCCCCCCTACTGCGCATATAGCCACCTCTATACAGCGCAGAACACATGTTGTCCTTGGAAAAATTATATGCACGGATGGTGTATGTACTCATGATGGTGTATGGTGGATTTGGGGTGTATCCGTCTTTTCTATCGACTGGCTCGTTGGTTTGTTCCTGCCGCCCGTTTATCGCACTCTGCCTGTCGCGCGCACGTTGATGGTTGGCTTGCGTATCGCCTGATGGTTGGCTTGCGTATCGCCTGATGGTTGGCTTGCGTATCGCTTGATGGTTGGCTTGCGTATCGCTTGATGGTTGGCTTGCGTATCGCTTGATGGTTGGCTTGCGTATCGCTTGATGGTTGGCTTGCGTATCGCTTGATGGTTGGCTTGCGTATCGCTTGATGGTTGGCTTGCGTATCGCTTGATGGTTGGCTTGCGTATCGCCTGATGGTTGGCTTGCGTATCGCTTGATGGTTGGCTGGCGTATCGCCTGATGGTTGGCTTGTGCTGGTGGCTGGCCTGTCGTGCGCTGCTTGGCTGGCCTCTCATTTGCTGAATTGCACACGGTATGGTGGACAGGTCCTGCCACTGTCGCTTATCTTTGTGGGAATGATCACTTTCAACAACATGTGCCTGATGTATGTCGAGGTCTCGTTCTACAACGTGGCGCGGTCGCTGACCATCTGCTTCAACGTGGTTCTCTCCTATCTCCTCCTCGGGTCCAAGACCTCGCCCAAGACGATGTCGGCACTGGTGCTTGTCATTATGGGCTTTTACATCGGGTCCGAGGGCGAGGTCAACTTTTCGCTCATCGGCACAGTCTTCGGCGTCATCTCATCGGTCTTTGTCTGCCTCAACTCGATCTACACCAAGAAGGTGCTCCCGCACGTCGGCGAGGACAAGTGGGTCCTCGCCTTCTACAACAACGTCAACGCTTCGCTCATCTTCATCCCTTGCATGTGGTTCTCGGGTGAGTTTGCCGTCCTCGCCGAGCACATGCAGACCCTCTTCTCGCTCACCTTCTGGTTCGGGATGGTGCTCTCGGGCGTGCTCGGCTTCTCCATCGGCATTGTCGTCGTTATGCAGATCAAGGCCACCACGCCGCTCACCCACAACGTGTCCGGTACCGCCAAGGCGTGCGCTCAGACAATGCTCGCCTTTGTCCTCTGGGGCAACGACATGACCGCTGGTGCTGTCATGGGTGTCGCCCTCGTCCTCGGTGGCTCGCTCCTCTACGCCTACATCCGCATCACCGAGGAGAACGCAAACAAGGCATCAAAGGCAGCCCATCCCGAGCCGCTCGATCTTGAGCAGCAGCAGCAGCAGCAGCAGTCAGAGTAGCGACAATCTTGCCGGAATAACACTATCTACATACCTCATACATCCCTCCTCCCCCTGATCTGCCCCAGCTGACCGCCACCCCGGGCTTTCGTCATCCACCGCCTGTCGCCCGTTGCCCGTCCGCCCCTGCCACCCCCTCCGGCCACACTCAGCCACCGCCCCCCCCCCTCCCCCCCCCTCCCCCCACCCACATCAGTCTTGACCAAACCAGCCCGATCCGCCCGATCCATCCATCCATCCATCCGATCTGCTCCAGATGACCTGACCGCCACCCCGGGCTTTCGTCATCCACCGCCCGTCGCCCGTCGCCCGTCCGCCCCTGTCACCCCCTCCGGCCACACTCAGCCACCGCCAGGCACCGCCACCGCCAACGACGAGCAGCACTTCACTCAGACCAGTGTCTCAGTCATGTCTGGGGCCAACCGCATGCTTGACGTGCTACGAGTTGCACGTGGAGCACAGATGATTGCTTGTGCGGCAAGCAAGCCGGGAGTTGCTCAAGCCAGTGCCTCACTCTCTGCCGCGTCAGCCGCATCCAAGGCACTCGGCACATCCATTGCCACAGCATCTGTATCAGTAGCTCGCCGTGCTGCAGATGCCATTGCTGGAGGTTCCGGTCGGGTTACCCATGCTACCTGCGAGACTCAGGGACATGTCCTTGCCTACCATCCTACAGAGAACCCGCTTGATGTCCATGATCACTCCGCATCGTCGCCATCAACCGCATCGACCGCATTGTCGCCATCCACCGCGTCGTCTGCATCGTCGCCATCGACCGCATCGTCGCCATCGACCGCATCGTCCGCATCGTCGCCACCGACCACATCGACCTCAATCGCCTCGACCGCGACCCCCTCCTCTTCATCCTCCGCCTCCTTGCCGACGACGTCCTTTACTGGTGCGGCATCATCGGCTGATGGCGCAGACAAAACTGCATCAGCCGCTGCATCGACCGATGCAAAGTCGTCTGCGGTGGACGTTGCGCCGGCGGAGCGGAAGCGGTACACGTCGCGGTCAAGGGAGACTCGGGTGCCGTCGTCCAAGATCGGACGGATGTGGCAGTTTGGCTCGCTGACGGCGAGCGTGGGCGCGTCAGTGATGGCGGACAAAGTTGGGTCGTGGTTTGGCGGCGGGAGCGAGGAAAAGAGCGGGTCGGTGCTGTCGGCGGCGAATGCGGAGCGTATTGCCGACGCGCTGTGCAAGATGCGTGGTGCGGCACTGAAGCTCGGTCAAATGGTGTCGATCCAGGACGAGGCGCTGCTGCCGCCTGAGATTGCTGGGGCACTGGAGCGAGTGCGGCAGGGCGCGGACCTGATGCCTGGTGAGCAGATGACTGAGGTGCTGCAGAGCGAGCTCGGGTCTGGGTGGGATGCGCAGCTTGCCGAGTTTGACCCGGAGCCGATGGCGGCGGCGTCGATCGGGCAAGTCCACGCTGCTCAGTTGAAGGATGGGCGCGAGGTGGTAATCAAGGTGCAGTACCCGGGCATTGCCGACTCGATTGACTCAGACCTGTGGAATCTGTCGCGGCTGTTGCTGATGAGCAACCTGCTGCCGAAGGGTCTGTTCCTGGAGAACACGATCGACGTTGCACGGCGGGAGCTCGGGTGGGAGACCGACTATGTGCGAGAGGCGCAGGCGATGACCCGTTACGCGGAGTTTCTCGAGGCGTCGCCAGCGCTCGCTGGCGGGTTTGTGGTGCCTCAGGTAGTGCCGGGCCTCTCGTCGTCGCGGGTCCTGACCGCGACGCGGTTGCCTGGCGATCCGCTGGAGACGACGGTGGCGGAGAGCCAGGAGGTGCGCAACTCGATTTCTGAGCGGCTGCTGGACCTCTGCCTCCACGAGCTCTTTGACTGGTCGTTTATGCAGACGGACCCGAACTTTGCCAACTTTCTCTACGACCGTGAGAGCGGCAAGATCGGGCTTGTGGACTTTGGCGCGTGCCGGTTCTTCAAGCGGTCGTTTGTGGATGACTACCTGCGTGTGGTGGCGGCGTCTGCCGAGCGTGATCGCGAGGGGGTGGTGCACTACTCGCGCGAGCTCGGCTTTCTCACCGGCGATGAGACGCAGCGGATGGTGGACATCCAGGCCGAGGCGGTGCTGCGGCTCGGCGAGCCTTTCGCTATCCAGGGCGCGTTCGACTTTTACAACCAGGTCATGACCCGCGAGATCAACTCGATGGTGCCGGACATGCTGAAGTACCGACTCACGCCGCCGCCCAACGAGACGTATTCGCTCCACCGCAAGATGGCCGGCACGTTCTTGCTTGTGGGCCGACTTCGGGCGCACATCGACTGCGCCAAGTTCTTCCGGCGGGCCCGCGACCGGTACCAGTTTGGGCGGGCTGACGAGCTGAGCGCTCAGCTCATCGAAGCCGGGGCGGTTGTGCAGCCTCACGGCGAGTCGTAGCCGTCGGAGAGGCCGGACGAGCCGAGGTGAACGACGCGTGCGGTAGCCGAGTTGCGGGCTGCGGCGTCTGCGGCGGCCAGCTCGGCGTGTGCAAGACGCACGAGCTCATGGCGCTCCTCGTCCTCGTCCGAGTAGCCTGAGGCCGAGTAGGAGACTGAGGACTCGACTTCGAGGCAGACAAGGAGCTTGCGGATGAGTGAGCGCGAGATGGTGACGTCGCCGGCGTGCTTGGCGTGGCTCGCGTGCATGGCGTCGTGCTCGGCGGCCCGCGGGTGGAGGCGCGGGAAAAAGTCGACGTGGTAGTGCTGGTTGATGACCTTGACGATGGTGTGGAGCTCGTGGCGGTCGATAAAGGGTGGGCAGCGGAAGACAAGGTTGAACTTGGCGAGGAGAAAAGGGACTACCCAGAACATGACGGCGACAAAGGTGGTGACGTAGCCGAGAAGAAAGATGGGAAGGGTGACGATGAGGTTCTTCTTCATCTTGTTGTTCATCGTCGGGGCCGAGCAGAGGTACACGAGAGTGTAGCAGCAGTAGAAGAGGCCGATCTGGAGGACGCGGGTCATGATGACCTCGATGGAGAAGGCACCGAGGCGGACGATCCAAGGAGTGTCGATCCAGGCGCGGCCGGGCGAGACCGTCTTGCGGTAGAGGAAGACGACAAAGGCCCACTGGCAGAGGATAATGGTGAAGATGCCGGCCTGGATGAGGATGATCTTGATGAGCTCGCCGTTCTCCGAGAGCGGCGAAAAGCCCGAGGTGAGGCCGATGATGAGGGCAATGGCGGCGGTGCCGGCCCAGGTGTAGACCTTGACGTGGACGAGTTCGATAAGGATCTCCTCAAACGAGCGGATGAGGTAGGCGGCCATGTTGAAGTTCTCGAGCTTGTCGGTGGCGATGGGTGAGCCATCATTTGCGGCGGCGAGCTCGTCGCGGTGCTCAAAGAGGTGGGTCTGGAACTTGGCCCACACCGCCTTGAACTCGTCGGCAACCTTGTGCGAGACGTGAGTGTTCGACTCCGACGAACGGAGGATGATGTTCTCCTGGGCAAAGGCCCAGCCGCGCATGTATCGCTCCGCGGTGCCGACAATGACGACCATGACAATAAAGTACAAGCACATGGTGAGGAAGAGGCGCATATGAGTGTCCTCTAAGATGTGCAGCAGATCAGCGCCCTTGTACGGGCCGAGATCGCCGGGCGATGACTTGGAGACCGCCCGCGAGATGACGCCTGTCCGCGCCATGAGCCACACCACAAAGGCCACAAAGCCGAGGACCATAAACTCCGAGTTGAGGCGGGCCCATAGCTTGACGTAGAACGAGTTCTTGCCCTTTTTGAGGATGCGCTGCGTGTGTGCGAGAGCGTGAGCATGAGCGTGAGTGTGGTTGATGCCATTGCAAAACGAGTGGCAGCGCAGCCAGTTAGGCGCAGCTTGCCCCCCCCCCCTCGCCCCTCCCTCCTCGGCTCGCCTCTGATCGTCTCCCTGGGACCATCTCCCTCACACCATCACCATCTCCCTCACACCATCACCATCTCCGAATCTCCGTCTCGATCTCCGGCTCGATCTCCGTCTCCCTCACCACCACACAGCCATTAACACCGTACATGCTCGATGATATGATGAACCGACTCAAAGATGACCGCAGCACCTATGCCATACCCGACCCCAGCCCCCATGCCCAATCGATGATGAGTAACCCTCCCCCGCGCACCTCCCCGCACCCCCGATCTCGTCGCCCCCAACAGAACAAGTAGTCAGCTCCACTTTGGGCGACATGACAGGCACCAGACCTGGGCTACAATGGGTAAAACCCATGCACCCTCCCCATACCTCACAAGCCCATTCCATATAAACAATATCCCTTCACCCCCTTGACAACTTTTCCCAAGCTCATTCTTTCTCTATACCCCCCACCAGGTCACCTTCCATATCCCCGACCGCATAACCTGTGTCCCTCCCGCCCGACCCGTGCCACTCCCCTCCCCCCCCCCCCCTCCCCCCCCTACATACAGATCATGAACACAAGAATGACTCTGTCAGTGAAGGTGTACTCGGCAGAAGACTCCCACCATTCTCCGCCCATTGTGGCTGTGCCTGTTGCTGTGGCCGGGGATGGAGGTGGTGCGTGTGCGTGTGTGTGTGTGTGTGTGTGCAGTGCAGTGGTGCTTGGTGTGGCTGTGGCTGGGGGGAGGGGCATCTGGAGGGGAGATGCTGGCTCATCACCGCCTTTATCGCAGCATCACATGGTCTGATCGTCATCATCGTGATCATGGGTGGTATGTCGTGGGTGCAGTGCAGTGGTGCTTGATGTGGCTGTGGCTGGGGGGGAGGGGCATCTGGAGGGGAGATGCTGGCTCATCACCGCCTTTATCGCAGCATCACATGGTCTGATCGTCATCATCGTGATCATGGGTGGTATGTCGTGGGTGCAGTGCAGTGGTGCTTGATGTGGCTGTGGCTGGGGGGGAGGGGCATCTGGAGGGGAGATGCTGGCTCATCACCGCCTTTATCGCAGCATCACATGGTCTGATCGTCATCATCGTGATCATGGGTGGTATGTCGTGGGTGCAGTGCAGTGGTGCTTGATGTGGTGTGGCTCGGGGAGGGGCGAGTCTGGAGGGGAGAGTGCTGGCTCATCACCGCCTTTATCGCAGCATCACATGGTCTGATCGTCATCATCGTGATCATGAGCGGTGGTATGTCGTGGGTGCAGACACGCACCTTCCACATCCACTACACCAAGAGCATGTCTCTCATCATCATCATTCCACAAGCCCACCACCGCAGCGTACCCACAACAACCATCATCCTCTCCCTCTCTCCCCCCTCCCCTCCCCCTCCCCCCCATCAACCCCAAGATCACACACATAAACTCCCCTCCCCCCTCCCTCCCCCCTCATCCACCCATCTCCCCCTTCTCCCAATCCCCCGCGCATGTTCCTGCCACTCCGGGGGCA